AGATAAAGCATATAAACCTTTGTAATTTGATAGGTATTTTATTAATGTCTCGATATAGGTCGCTTGTGAATCGAAGCAATGGAGAGCAGGTGGGTTTGAACTGCGGAATTGAACAAATGCGCAAAGACTCCGAGATAGATCTTTCGTTTTGTGTGCTTGTTAGGCACTTATTGTATTGGCGGATTGTCGGAGTATAAGACATCTTGATGACATTAATGGTAGCACTCCCAATATTCTCTATTACATGCATGATTTAATTTTTTAAATTATTCGTCAACATTCCCGCGAACGATTTATGAAAATAGAACATGAAGTCTTGAGCCCAAGGTAGTTCAATATTGCAATAACATATTTTCGTCATGAAATTCAGATCATTATAGAGTGAACTCCGTCGAGTTGAGTGGGCTAAAAAAGGCTATCAAATGGCACGATCTACATAATTTGGTCGCCCTGGAAGCAGAAAAATATCGCAATAAACTCAGAGGTAAAAACGTATTATAGTCCAGTGTTAATAAGCTGGAATTAAGATATGTTTTTACGCCTGAGTTTGTTTACCTTTTTGCGCTGGGATGACGACTGGTTCTCGCTCGAAAAATGAGTCGAAACTTTATTGAAGAGTTAGGACTCTCAACGCTGGCAATGAAATAATATCCCCCGATCGAGTTGAAATTGTTCAAATTGATGAGCTAATGATAATAAATTATTCAAACAGTAAGTTTTTGTTTCAATTATCAAGCCACGAATGGATTAATCGAAGCATCGTCAGCTGCATGAAACGTATACACGACCATGTTGTATCTGTTTAATATGGCCAAAATTTTATTGCCGTTGTGCACTCGAAACGCATGGCTGCTGCCGCCACGGCTAGTGGTCGCGAGGGTGAATATTTAACGAGCTTATCGCGAGCGAAAATCGATTCGACTTGTATCCAGCACTGCAGCTCGATCACGCCACTCCGCCGCCACCGCCACCCAAGCTCGTATTATATACGCGAGGTATGAAAATCATTAATCGAGTCCTTTCCTCGCCTCGACAAAAAGACAACAACACACGAGGCACGTTGTATGTAAGTAATGCCGAGCTTTGGCGTAGGAAAAAGTCATTGTCGACCGCCTCCCCCGAATGCCTCGGCGCGCGGACGTGTAACGTCGTGATCGGCGCCTGCACACGAGCAACGCACATGTACACGCGTGTCTTGTTATACTCCAAGTCCTATATGTGAGCCAGCTAGAGTATGGAAGCTGCTGAGAGATCGAGAGTCGCGCAAAGCAGCATCATCAATCTTTTCTCGAGCTTTCGCTAATACTCGCGCGTATGCTTCTGTGGGTGTGTACGTGCATCGTTCGGGGTGAAGAAAAATGACGCCAATAATGGGAAGCGAGAAGTACAAGACGACGTACACGAGAGTGGGCAGTGGCTCCACACATTTATATGGCCGACTCGACTGAAAAATATTCTTACTACTGACATGAAAATCTTGTCTGTTTTCAATGTCACAGACGTCCCCAAATTTCGGTAGAAGACCTGACCCTGCCTACCTTAAAATTCGTACCTCCGTTGGTAATTATTTGATTGAAAGACAATAAAAATGACAATGACTTACAATTAAATCGAATTTGTATATTTTTTTCAAAATCTTTATATTATAAAATGCAATCACTGCCTGCAGTGGCAAATTAGAAGCAGTACCGTCCCCACGCATACTTTCATTTACCGCTCACACAATTCGAAAACAATTATAAAAGCTTTTACTCATTTTGAAGAAATTAAAAAAAAATTTTTGATTGAAATTAAATTATTAAATGGTTTGCACGTTGATTTTTTAGAAATCAAACACATCAGATAGAATACATTGTGATTACCGATAGAGCCACTCGTAGGAGAAATAATCAGTCCGTCAGCAAATTTGTCATAATCTTTCACTTGTGCGAGTTTGATCAAGTCAGGGTCGCGTATGATCAAGAGCTCATCGAAAGCTACAGGAACCAAGTAGACTAAAAATGGTGAGGAGATTATAAGTAATTAATAGTACATAAAATATAAAAACGCCACAATGTCATTATACAAAGATGTAATGGTAGTTGAACATCTGAGGTTCAGGTAATAAGCAATTATTTCAGCACAATTTTTATTAAAATTTTAGAAACACATTATACATGCATGAGTATTTATAAATATTTACAATTGTCAATCATCATTTTTTCTCGTAACTGCGGCGTTCTTAATATTTGCGGTCTTTATGCACTGCCAATTGGTGTTTGAGCAAATGTGCCTTTTGTCCAAATTTCTTCTCGCATTCATCGCATGCGAAATCTTTATAGCCTTCGTGTACTGTCCTTTGGTGTTTCAGCAAATTCGACTTTTCTCCAAATTTCTTTCCACATGTGTAGCAGACAAAATCTTTGCGACTCTCGTGGACTGTTCTTATGTGGGAGAGCAAATAATATTTACTTCCGAATTTCTTCTCGCACTTATCACATGCAAAATCTTTGCGACCTTCGTGTACGGTCCATTGGTGCTTCAACATATCCGCCTTTCTTCCAAAATTCTTATCGCAGCTATTGCACGCGAAATCTTTTCGACCTTCGTGGACTGTCTTTTGGTGGACAAGCCAATGTGTCTTTTGTCCAAATTTCTTATCACATTTGCCACAAGCATAATCTTTACGACCTTCGTGTACTGTCTTTTGGTGCTGTAACAAAGCCGACTTTTGTCCAAATTTCATCTCGCAATTGTTGCATACGAAGTCTGTGCGACCCTCGTGGACAAATCTTATATGCAAGAGCAAATTTTTTTTATGTCTGTATTTTTTTTCACACTTGTTGCATGCGTTATCTTGGTGATCTTCATGAACTGTCTTTTGGCTGTTTTTTAACATCTCGTTCTCTTCGATCACGATCTCCTGGCGGGGTATCTGGTCCGCTGCTTCCGCCGCGAGTCTGTGCGAACTCGGATTGAGCAAATGTTTGGATTCCATCACGTTTAGAGCTCTCCGTGGTTCGTACATGAATTGGCTCCGGTGGAATAAAATGACCACGCACATCAGTGGTTATACAGGTATTAACTCTGCAGGTAGAAGAGAAGGCATAGGGTAGCCTTGGCATCATCTCGTGCACATCTTTTGGAGAACGTGGTCTCCCACCATCTAAGACGGCACCACGAAATAAAGCCGCGTCCGAGCACTTCCATCGCTCGGGCAGATAGAGTTTTAGTGGGTATTCCCTCACCGACGCAAATCGGTTGAGGGCGAGTCCCACACACGGGGAGGTTCGGGGTTGACTTCAACTCCAACCTCCTTACGGTGCGTAACGCATTTCTCTATCTATAAAAAAAAAAAAAAAAAAAAAAAAAAAAAAAAAAAATGCTGCAGAAGATCTGATTTACTTCCAAATTTTTTTTCACCACCTGAGTAATCTTTGTGACCCTCATGAACTGTTCTTCTGTGCCAAACCCAATTTGATTTATTTCCAAATTTCTTTCCGCAATCTTCATTAGAGTCATTTTTAAAGGTTTTCAAAGCAAAATTTTTCCGACCATCGTGTACTGCCTTTACATGTCTGAGCAAACTTCGTTTATTTCCAAATCTCTTCGCACACTTTTCGCATAAGTAATCTTTGAAAACTTCATGGAATATTTTTTGGTGCTTGAGTAAAGTCAATTTATTTTCAAATTTTTTATCACACTTTTTGCATGAGAAACCGTTCGGATCTTTGTGTGATAATTTCTGATGCATAAACAAACTCGATTTTTTCACAAATTTTTTTTCGCACCTGTCACATACAAACGCGTTTTGGCCTTTGTGTACTGATATTTGGTGTCTACTCAAGTGACTTCGAAACTCAAATTTTTTCTCGCACTTGTCGCAAGCAAAATCTTTTCGTTCATTGTGAATTACGTCTCGGTGGGCTATGAAGCTCGATTTTAATGTAAATGCCTCCTGAAAAATATCATCAATGTTTTGTTTCTTATCCAAAACAACAATGTAGTGTTCACTTGAATTATCTTCCGAGACAACTGCTTCGGATTTCTTCTCACTTTTATCCATTTTTGTTCTTAAAATAAACGATGGATCAGTCTATTTAATGCCACGAAAATTGTACGAGTAAATTTCATCTTTTGTTATTATGACTTGAAAGGCAACAGTCAAACTAATTTGTTTTCCGCGATTGGCTGCTAGGTGGGATTATATTTGATTGATGTTGACCGCTATCAAAATCAGCTGATGACCACGTGGTCCACTATCTAATAATCAAGTCATTTGGACAGCTGACCGATCAGCTGAAAACGTTCAACTAGCTTGTAAAAACTACCGTTACAATGATATACTTTCTTGTGTGAGGAACTAAAAACCCGAAGTTATATATTAATCATAATTATCAGGAGTATTATACATATGTCTTAAAGCGGCAACAATAGATGTCGCTCTCAAAATCGATAAAATAAGCTGCAAAATTTTATGCTAGAAAACTATACACTCAACATTCAACGGCTGACAACAACTACTCTGTGACGCATCAGCTTATTTTGTTTTTTTTATAACAAGCGACCAGTTCATAGTATATTTTGTAACAAGTGCGCGAAGCAGTTGACTCATCCAGGAGTTGTTTTCACCCGAGCGTAGCGAGGGTGCAAAGACTCCTGGATGAGTCAACTTCCTCGCGGACTAGTTGCAAACGATATTTTTTAACTCTGTTTGCGAGAAACTAGGGTTTTCTGACGCTTTAAGGTTAGAAAACCCGTGTTTCGCGCACGCAGTGTTAAAAAATAACTAAGATAACGACACTTTTGTTGGCAAATAAATGTAATGTGCAGACCAAACTTAACTCGCAGAGCGCAGACGAGCGCAGATAATTGCGCGAAGAATTTAATTGTTGCTGAATAAATCTCAAGTATCGTGTCCCTTCATCTTTGGATTCTCTCTTGAGATTTCTTTCTTATTATATTGATTAAAAAAAAAAAAATAAAAATAAATAATTCACCGGAAAAATAAATTTTCAAAGTCATTTAAAAAAATATATTTATATATATTATTTACCTAGCATTTTTACAGAGTGCGTTGAAAATTATATTATATGCTTAATAATGCTATTTCAACAAATAATTCCTTAGGAAATACTTTTTATGCAATAATTTGATATTCAATCATAAAATGCAAACAAACAGTGATAATCAAGTTGCAAAGTTATACCTGCATCTTTATAATACTTTTAGTTTAATTTTGACAATAAAATTCACAAAGAATAAAATTTTGATTACAACCATTTAAAAATTTACTCTATAAAATGCATATGGTGCAAAAATACTAGAACTGAATCACAATTTAACATGATCCGATGTATAACACCTAAGAAAGATAAAGTTACAGTATCCCTAATCAACGAATCAAACTCAACTAAAAACTACTTTTAAACATAATAACGAGTTAAGATACATTTTTGTGCGATTTTACTATTGATTGCATCAATTCCAACAATATATTAGGATCATCTATTTCCTTCATTTTTTCAGAATCGTAAATCAATTGTATGTGAGTTGTGACAAATTTTATTACTTCATCTTCCAAATGCTTCACTTTGTATTTATGAGTAGCTACTAAAATATCAATTGCATTTTCAGTGGACAACTCAGCACATAAGATTTCTCCGCACTTGGTTTTCAAAGTGTCAATCTGATACTTGTCAGCCACTGCTAAAAGTTCAAGAATCTTATCTGTTTCGATAGCTTCGATCTCGCCAGTGTAGATGTATCGCAGCATTTCAGTTAGAATATTCACAGTAGTGTCGTTTATGTTCACGGAATTTTCTTTGTTTTCCAACATATCGTGTGTAAACATGGCCCTAAATACCGGGCTGGCTGCTGAGAGCATAATTTTGTGCGCTGGGATTTTAGTTTCTTCAACTATTAATATAATATCACTGAGCTCTTCGCTGAGAAATAAAAAATCGAATTTTATTCTATCGATAGTGTCATTTTTACTGCAGACGATTTCTGAATCCAATGAAGATTTACATTTCTTGAAAATTTCCAATTCACATTGAATAGTTACACTATTTTCAGAAGAAATTAGTTTGTCAGTATAATCATGTGACAAAAATTTTGACCAACCCCAGTCGGGAGTACTCGCGAAATCGTGATACAATGTAACTTTTACAACAACTGTTTTATCATTGATAGCTGATAATTTGTTTCTACACATCAGCGTATCCGGTTTGTTGTTTGAATCCATCAAGGGTCTAAGAAATAAAGAAATGTATCCTTCACTTTCTTTGCAATTACCTTCAGGGTACAACTCTAACTTGAAGTATTTCTTATCGTCACTTCCAACGCTGAATTTCGGGGAACTTATTGGCTTTCCATTTTTCACTTTTATTAAACGGTAATTCTCGATCGTCCAGGTAAAGATGCACTGATCCGAAATAACTTTAGTTGTACCTTCTATTCTTTTATTTGATGACATTTTGACTCAATTATCTGAAAGCTTTTAAAAACTTATTTTTAGATCTAGTGCCACCTTGATCAATGAAAATTAAATAAAAAACACTAACGAGATGAATATTTTGAACAGTAGTTCTCACAACAATGGCTCTGTGACGTATCGGTTAATTTTGTTTCTGCTCGTGAGAAGCGACTTGTTCAAATGGCGAAAGTAGCGACAATACAGGATTCAGGATATACGCAGAGTCAAATCGACTCGCCAAGCGCCGATAATTGCGCGAAAAATTAAAATGTTATCGAATGAACCTTAATTTAATTGTCGTCCTTTTCTTTCAGAAATCAAATAGCGAATGAAGCGATGCACACACGCACACAGTAAACAAGTCTCTTTGACCAAAATTTGGTTAGAATTGACTGCGATCTGGTATACTCTTTTTCAGAGAGCTGAAGTAAGCATTTTCTTAAAATTGTTGATTTTTGAAAATATTTAATAAATTCCTATAGCTCGGCATAGAGTGATCTTTTAGGAGAAAAAGTAAGAGATTTTATTGCTGAAACTTGTCCTAATTTTCAGAAAAGAAATATACCAAATAAATTGATCAATTTTGGTGGTAATAGTTGATATTTTTGAGGAAGCTTTATGAATATTTTGGAGTTTTTTTATCTCGAACTCGAAAGGGCCGCTGCACTCATGATCCGGACTGGGTGCCGACGACGAGGTGCCGTTGATCGATAATCTGGGCTGCGAGTGGCGCGTTTGCGAGCTGCTCGCCTCGTCCTGGCTGTAGAGCTTCTAGCCAAGGGCCGACGATCTCCGTTGTGTCAGGAGTAATGGGTACAGCGGATAATTAATCATGTTCACATCGCGCCCATCCCGAGCCGATTCATTATCTCTCACATTGCGTCATTATACCCCCATCAGGATTAATGGGTGGGGGTCCTATTTACATGTACCTTTACCTCCTCGTGAGGCAATTTTTTGGTGTTACTCGCGCACCCCCCTTAAACCAAAAATAAATCGGTTCTTATTAGCTTCTATCTTAAACTTCGCTTTTACTACTTATACAATTATATTTACTTTGCCACTTGCAGATTTACAGTTCAAGGTATTTCGCCATCTAGTGGCGGAGTCTAAAGTGAATTACGATTGAATTCTTTTACATTTTATTGATCGATTTCAATCAAAATGTTCAAGGAATACAGAAGTCAGTTCAAAAATGAAAATTTTAATTCGACTATCATTTTTATGTTCCAAAGGTCTCCGTAGAGCTTTTGAGAGAAATAGTCAATAGAAATTTCAGAGAACGGGACCCGAATTATGCAATTGGGGTTTTATTTCAGCTATTTCATGTGCGGTTAGAATAAAAAATATATCAGACATTACGAGTTACCTTAATTACATGTTGATTCTTCTTCCTTCAAGGAACTCTACCCCGAGCTAAACATTTTTGAAAAAAATAATTTTAGAAAAATGCCATCCTCAGGCCTCTAAAATGGGGTTAGTACAGGATATCGCTAAAAATTCTAGAAAAATTGGCAGATATCTACAATATTGGAAACTACAAATTTTTCATTTTAATATGGAAAGCATTGTATCGGCCATCCGATTTCACAGCAAAGTAGGTAATATATCTCAATATAAATAAAAGTACAAAACGCTATGTACATTGCCGCGCGTCCAAGTACATACGGCATGTGTGTATTTTCGAAGAGGTGCAAAAGTCAACAGCTCTGCGTCAGTAGTCGCGTTAAAGCAAGATCCCAGATGTCTTCTTCTTCCCGCGCTTGTGCATAATATTTTTTCTCGTCGTCTGTGCGCAGCACCGCGTTCGAAACCATGCCGAGCTCAGGTCCATGTGTCGTATCGATGCATGAGCATAAATAAGCAACACCCGAGCCGCACGCATGGGTACACGCACCTTCGATACAAAGCCGGCGTGGCTGGCTGCTCTGACTCTCGCGTCGACCCACGGCGCTACATTATATACATAAGGGCGTTAAAGGGGATCCTGCCCTGCGGTGAGGGTGAAATCGTCGACGGCAGAAGGGGCGGAAGGGGGTGTCGAGCAAATTATACGGCCCCCACAGCAGCAGCAGTGGCTCGTTGGCTAGCGATTCCGATTATATATAAGCTCGTAATGTACAACGTATATACACAATAATGAAAAAGTTGCTGGATTATATTCTCGCGTCGCTCAGTACGTCCATATAATTTTTCGCGCCGATGTACGCGTTCGATTTCTTTTATGCACGAATCGAAGAATCGCACAATCGTTGAAATCGAACACGCGCACTGGAATGAAATAATCGCCGCACGCGCTCCTGCAGTCCCACGCACTGTGTGTACGCCACGTTCCATACCTAGTGGGGTGCAACGCGATGTGATTTATGCTTTTCTCCGAGCACGTCGACGTTATATCTACACACACACACACACACACACGTCGCCGTCGTGGTCGCGCCCATTGGAAGTCATCGTTACATACTGCACACACACATGCACAAACAGACAGCTCGCCGAGAGTGAAAGAGTACACATACATCGCGAGCGTATTGTATATAGATGCACACCGACAAGAAGGAAGATGAGGAGGGAGGGATTAATTGAATTCCCTCGGTAAAGTACGATCGCAACGAGGATAGATTTATCGAGGGTGCCCCACTACTACTACTACTACTACTACCATAACAGCGGTGTATACGCAGCACAAAGTGTAGGTGTATTTGTGTATGCGGCCGACAACTAAGTGTCCGCTTGTGCATATATTATATATATATCTGTGTACACGCGAACGCTAATATATATCGGGAGCGATTAACACTGGCATGTGCGCGCGTGGTATTCGTTGATAATGCCCGAAAGGAGTTTGTAATTCTCTCCCTATAGTCAGCTGGATCTCCCCCTTTCTCTGTGAGCGCCGATCGCTGCGTCTCGCTATTTTGCAAAAAGGGCGGTAATATATATATCTCGATGATCACCCGAGGCCGATCCGGCGCGCGGATTGAGTTGTGTTTTTTTCTCTCATTCTACTTCTTTTTTTTTTTTTTTTCGTTCCGAGAGAGAGGGCCGATCGCAACTCGAGCCTGTGGAGTGGGCGCCCCGGCACACACATTGAATCGAATAATGCATGTCGTTTTATTTAGGCAGACTTCAAACTTCGAGAGGATGATTCAATTTTCATTGCTGATTCTTCGCGTGGTTTATTTTCTTCTGTCGTGTTCTCAGTTTTGTACGATTAAGAAGTGGCAGTAATTTGTATATGAAAACTGTAATTTTTTCAAAAATTTATGACTGATTCGAAATTTCGAAACATTCAATATTTGTTGATCCTAATAATACTCTATACAAAAAATGATTTACTCGTATCATTCAAGTCTCATGGAGAAGTTTAATGTAAGGATGGTACTCGTAAGGACGGTACTAAAGTAGGTACTCATTGTAATAAAAATAAATCAAATAACATCAGCTTTAATAAAGATGTTACTAATTGTTCGCATTAAATAAGATTATTCGGAATCATTTGGACAATATTTATCAGAAAAAGGTTTTCATATACTAGGTTCAAAGAATTATTCTCGATGAAAAAAATTCGAGAATCGTTTATCATGAGTATGAAATCATATAATAGACTCCCTGATGGAACATCTCTACATTAAAAATGGCCTAGTGACCAAAAAAAAATTATTGAAAATGTTTTAAATAAATTACCATTGAATGGCGATTTTTCTGTAATAATTATGTCAGAAAATTTAGACCAGTCTTCAACCGCTTCAAGTACGGTAATACCACTTTAAACTTTTACCACCAGATGGCGAATATCTGTATCTGCAAATTCGCAAGTGGTAAAGTAAAAATAATCGTATAAGTCCAATTACGATTTCATTATCGATATCAGATGTTTATCGTCCAACATTTTCATCTTTGCGTTCATAATAAAGTTACAGGAATACCGTTTTAAACCCAACACACACGTGTACGGAATATTTCATTGTAATTATTAAAAAAATCAGTCTCGTGTTTATCATACACCAGATACAAAGAAACGCATTCTGCAGATCCTGCACATGAGCGTGAAAAAGTTACGTTCACAGTGTGTATGCGGGGCGTACCGTCGATCGGCTTTGTGCGAGTTTTTAGGGCGATTTGGATTAATTTATTACGAGTCCGGAATATAAACGTCACAAAAGTATATAATAATATACAAAGCAAGGGGAGCTCACAGTCTCGGGGCTTTTGGTCGCAATTATAAGCCGCTCATTGTTATCGACGCGGCAAAAAAAAGAAAGATCCGACTCGAATATACATTTCATCCATGTATCCCACGAAGCGTCTGATCAAAGGTGAAAAGCTGTATATAGAATGCAGAGGGGGTGGTGAGTTTCGCGCGAAAACGAACAAAGACTAATTAAAACAAAAGGGAGGGGTGGTTGTCGCTGCTGGTGTCGCAGCCACTTGCCCCATGCTTGACTGACTCTCGTTCTCTCTGCCATCGCACAGGAGGCCCACGTATATACAGACCTCGCGAGCACCGCTACAAGTTTTGCACGCGGCCATTCACGTTTACCCTTATGTACATTTAAAAAAAGGGTACTTACAACCATACACATCACCCAGTTGGTCGCGTACACGATTCGCGTGGGTGGACTCGCGCTTGCATCGTTTATTGTTTTCTGCATGGTGGAAGATTTTTCAACCTTTATATGGTATGTAACACCGTGCACGTGTAATATTGTCTCTTGCGTTATGAACTCGGGCTGATGCAACCGAAAATCGAAAATTTTTGCGTTTCCATGGCAAGTATATTTACATTATTGATATATTGCAGGATCAGCCGAAGCGTTTGAAAATCCATCAATAAGCTCGTGACGGAAAATTCATGCGGACGCACGCACCCGTAACGCGCTCGACTCTCTCGCACTCACCCTATACCGATAAATGTGTGTGGCGCTTATGAAATCGCGCGAAAATGCAAAATACACAACAAAAAGGACATGCAACCTGTCGCATTGTCACGCAGGGCTATCAATGCCCGTATATATAATACGCAGCGGCGCGACCTAGTTTTTATAATTTATGTATGCATAATACGCGGATTGGTGCGGACGAGGCAGTGTATCGATGTATATAGACGCGCGCAATATATGGATGCCAGCAGAGCTCCAAAGGAATTGTTATTGAATTGTTAAAAGG